AAAGAAAGGTGATCCCACAGAATGTGGAAATTATAAAAAATACCATTATTAATATCATTATTAACATCACTATCACATGCAAGTAAATTTTTGCTGAAAATAATTCAAAAATGGTTGCAGCAGTATATTGATAGAGAACTTTCAGAAATGCAAGCTGGATTCAGATGAGGACATAGAATGAGGTGTAACACTACTGATGTCAGATGGATCTTAGCTGAAAGCAAAGAATACCAGAAAGATGTTTACCTGTGTTTTATTGACTATGCAAAGGCATTTGTTTGTGTGGATCATAACAATTTATGGATAACATTGAGAAGAATGGGAATTCCAGAACACTTGATTGTGCTCATGAGGAACCTGACCAGGAGGCTGTCATTCAAAAAGAACAAGGAGATATTGAATAGCTTAAAATCAGGAAGGGAGTGCATCAGGGTTATATCCTTTCACCATACGTCAATCTGTATGCTGAGGAAATAAACCGAGAAGCTGGACTATATGAAGAAGAATGTGGCATCAGGATTGGAGGAAGACTCGTTAACAACCTGTGATATGCAGATGACACAACATTGCTTGCTGAAAGTAAAGAAGACTTGAAGCACCTACTGATGAAGATTATAGGCTATAATCTTCAGATTAGATTACACCTCAACCTAAAGAAAACATAAATGCTTACAAGTGGACCGATAAGCAACACCACAATAAATGGAGAAAAGACTAAAGCTGTCAGGGTTTCATTTCACTTGGATCCACAACCAACATGCATGGAAGCAGCAGTCAAGGAATCAGGTATCATATTGCACTGGGCAAATCTGCTGCAAAAGACCTCTTTTAAGTGTTAAGGAGTAAACATGTCACATTAAAGATCAAGGTGCGTCTAACCCGGCCCATGGTATTTTCAATCACCTCACATGCATGTGAAAGCTGGACAATGAATAAGGAAGACCAAAGAAGAGTTGATGCCTTTGAATTGTGGTGCTGGCGAAGACTACTGAAAGCACCATGAACTACTAGAAGAAAAAACATACATATCCTGGAAGAAGTGCATCTGGAATGCTCCTTAGAAGCAAGAATGGCCAGACTTCATCTTACCTACCCTGGTCATGTTGTCAGAAGGGACCAGTCCCTGGAGAAGAATATCATGTTTGGTAAAGTGGAGGGTCAGCGAAAAAGGGAGGGCCCTCAACAAGGTTGACCGACACAGTGGCTGCAGCGATGGGCTCAAGCACAGCAAGGCTCGTGGAGCCGGTGCAGGACCGGGCAGCGTTTCACTCTGTTGTCCACGGGGTCGCTACGAGTCAGAGCTGACTGGACATCACCTACCACTGCCACAATAAAGACAGGGCTGCACGGCTATTTACTGTAACTGTTGTAAGTTGTACACCTATAAAAACTGAATTGGCAACAGTTGTGTGGTAGATATATTTACAACAACCACAAACCCATTGCCTTCTAGCCGATTCCGACTTACGGCATCCCTAAAGGACCAAGTAGTACATCCTCACAGGGCTTCCAAGGCTGTCATCTTTACAGGAGAGGTGCCACATCTTTCTCCCATGGAGTGACGGCTGGGCTCAAACCACCAACCTTTCAGTTAGCAACTGAGTACTTAACCACTGCACCACCAGGTCATTCACATACACACCTCCTTTGTTTGTGTGTTTGAAGAGAAAAGTTAATTTTCCCGAGAGTTAGGAGCAGTGGGAGTGTAGGCAAGCACCGGACAAATGAGGCTCTCTGTTCAGAAGAAGCCTGATCGCGCGTAGGTGGAACAGACGGGACAGTGATGGACGGGAGAGAGGGGCCGCTGGCCTTCGAGTCCGATCATAAATTACAACATTCACAGATCCTGCAGGGAGGACATTCCAAAAGCTGGGTGCGTGGTCTGACAACGCGGGGTTTTTGTTGGCCGGCACTGTGAGACTGTCTTCCAAGGACGCCCTGCCTCAGTGCAGAGGCCCTGTGCCAAGTTCAACCTTGGGGAGTTAATGCCTCCACTTAAATACACAAGAAAGAAGTCAGCATTTTAAATGGCCAAGACACTGCTTCCAAGACAGGTTTCTTAGAAAAAAGTACTCCCTGTACACATGCTGTTGCTGAAGAATCCCGCCAAAAACATATTCGTAAACCACAGCCTTGAAACGATGTGTGCTGTGTTGACGCTGTGCAGAGCACACAGCTCTGAGCTGGCCCCATGCTGCACAGCCACACCCCAGCTCCTGGCCCGCACCTCCTTGCTTGCAATCAGGTACCCGCCCGCTCTACCTGTGAAGTTCAGGACAGATGCCTGGATCTACCCGCTGTGGCTGGAAGGAGGGCCGTGTTCACCGCTAGGACCATGTACGCAAGGACCTGGCTGGCTGGAGAGCTGTGTTCACTGCCAGGACCATGTGCGCAAGGACTTGGCTGGAGGGAGGGCTGTGCTCACCACTAGAACCACCTGTGCAAGGGCCTGGCTGGAGGAAGGGCTCTGTTCACCGCCAGGACATGTGCAAGGACTTGGCTAGAAGGAGGGCCATGTTCACCACTAGGACCACGTGTACAAGGACCCGGCTGGACGGAGGGCTGTGTTCGCTGCCAGGACCATGTGTGCAAGGACTCGGCTGGACAGAGAGCTGTGTTCACTGCCAGGACCACGTGTGCAAGGACGCAGCTGGAGGGAGGGACTGGAGAGAAGGCCGTGTTCACTTTCAACACCATGTGTGCAAGTACTCAGCTAAAGGGAAGGCCGAGTTCACTGCCAGGACCCCATGTACAAGGACTTGGCTGGAGGGAGGGCCGTGTTCACCGCCAGGACCATGTGTGCAAGGAATGACTTCAGTGTCAGATGCTTGTGATGATTTCCAAGAGCAGCTCTAAGGAGTCCTGTTCCTCCAATAGCCAGAGACCAGCAGGTTGGGCTGGAGTCCATCTTGCATCTTGCTGAAGTGGGTACTAGCTGATTTCCTGTACTCTGAGCCCCTGCAGCCAGGGCTGATGGCTTCCACCTCTAACTGCCTGATGGTCAGACTTGAAAGATTGGGGAAAATGTACAGGAAGGTCAGCATGCTCGTGCCTTGGCAACAAGGGGTGGAATCTGTGGCTAAAGTTGTGAGGATCCAAGAGGATGCTGTAAGCTATCTCACCTCAATCTGAAACCTCAAAGAACAATCTACGCAGCAAGGAGTTCGTCCAGCATTTCTGTCTGTGTATGCATGACGTCCTGGTACAAACAGCTGTTCCTCAGGCACCAGTGTGACATGCTTTGCTTTACTCAAAGTCACACAAGACAGGAGTGACCATGCGTTTCTGTGCTTCAGACCCTTGCATAACTCTAGTGGCTCTTGCCTTTAGTGCATTTATATTTTTTAAAAGTAGACTTCAAGGCAAACCGAGCCATACACCAGGAAGCCGACTGGGGGACAAGCTCATCCGGGTTATCATCATCAGCTTGCTGGCTCCCTTGGCCAGTGGCAGGGCAAAGTGCGCTCTATCTGACATTGGGCGCAACCTCAGTGCCCATCACAGTATCCTGTACTGAGGGTCCCCCAACATCATGCTTGTGTGAGAACCACCTGAGGGCCCCCAAACACTGTCTCCACGTGAGAACTGCCTGAAGGGTCCCCGAACACCATGCCCCCATGAAAACTGCCTGAAGGGTCCCCAAACACTGTGCCCATGTGAGAGCCGCCTGAGGGTCCCAGAACACCATGCCCACATGAGAACTGGCTGAGGGTCCCTGAACACCATGCCCATGTGAGAACCACCTGAGGGTCCCAGAACACTATGCCCACATGAGAACTGG